CTGACAAGCGGGAAGTTTCGCACCTGTTCTGGAGATTTCGAGAACCATCTGGGTTACCTGGAGGAAACTATATAAGCGACGACGAGAACCAGACGGAAAAGTAAAGTGACAGGAGCGACCGGGTGCAGAAGAGATTAATCCCCGCGAGTCTGAAGAGCCAGTTTTCCGTGCGTTTTTGTTATTGTTTGTGAAGTTGACGGTAATTTTGAAGTTAGTTTGTTCCTGTTCCGCATTTAAAGTTATACCGAGTTAATAACAATTGGAAGCTGAAGAAAGAGTTTGATACTCGGCCATCCCAGGTACAATATTGAATAGAGATGTCTTCATGTCCAGGGCCCTTTTCCTCTTCGTCCCTTTGATGATGTCCAAGAACATCTCGTCCACTTCTTCTTCTTTTTTTGGATGATTGATGATATCTCTGTATTGGAGCTCTAGATGGTTGGCAAAGAGCTCCATTTTCTCTTTGGGATCCGCAGTGGTGATACCGTTTTCTTCTATAGATGGCGCTGGTTTCCTTCGTCCTGTATTGAGGTTCCTGGCCAATTTTAAGATAGCTTGCCATGATTCGTCAGCCTCTATTTTCTCCAGGCCGTTATCCAAGAACTGCGATCGACCATCCCTCATATACTTCTCTGAGAGCATTCTGGAGGCGGTTGATTTGCCTTTTAGATATAGGTCTTGTGTCGTATCCGGTTTTTCTCCCTGATTTTGCCTTTTACCAAGGGGGGAATATTGGCTATGGGGCTTGCCGGAACGACTGATTGCCTTCTTGAAGCTATTAGTGCATTCTTGATTTTCCTGGTTAGTTTATCGACTGCCTGATCTAGGTAGGTCCTGCTGGAGCTTTTTAAGATACTCTGGGGAAGTCTGCCAAGTGGTGATACTCTTAGTCGCAGCGGTGCTATTGACTTGGTATGTACTAATTTGCATGAGTATGGGCAAATGGTCCGATGATTGCTCCTGAAGTACTTTGGGGCTGGACACGCTTCCTGTGTTCTTGTACATAAATATGCTCAGGATGTCATATTTGTCGTTGTGCGACTATCTCAAATGTTGTATTCCTGGGTTCGTTTGATTTGCCTTCATAAGTGTTGCAGTTGCATTGCTGTTGTTTTTGGCATTGAAATCGCCGCCATGTATTGTGGGTCGCTTGTTCGAGTAAAACCTTCAAACATCCTCGATTCTGATCTCCAACTTTTCCATTTGAACGGCGACTGTGGAGTTCTTCAGGTTTGCCGATGGTTTGACAATTTGATGGTGCTGGAGCATTCTTAGAGTTCGAGTACTTGTACCTGGCTAGTACCCTGATTTTGTTACTATAATCTTCGCTTCTTGGAGGGAATTATTACTCCCTCCTTGGTAGTTACTCCACAGCCGTCGTTAATTTGCTTTGTCATTTTTTTATGATACATATTTTTATTTTTTATTTTTTATTTTATTCACAATGTTTTTCTTTTCTCGGAGGACAAGCAGTGGGACGTTTGTCCTCTTTTCCGATTGCTGATGGGCGGCAGGGCTGACCTGCTTTTTGTGCGCTGTCTGTGCTGTCGGCCGGGCTCTCTGGGCGGCTGTGTGGGGGTCTTGCTTGTTGGGCTAGTACCCGTGGAAATATGTTTTGTCCTACAGCCTTAGTCGTCCTCACTGGAGGACACGAGCTTAGTTTCTAGTCTCCCGTTTCGTCGGTTTGGGCTTTTAAACCGTTCGTCGTCGGAAGAGTCGGCCACCGGGCCTTCGCCCTCTGTGGACGCAATTGGGATGTATTTCGCATTAGCGGGCCCCTCAGCTGACTCGCGATCGCTGGAGGAGACTGACTCCTCCACCACTTTCTCTTCCGTGCCCTCTTCTGCGCCGTCGGGGCGGCTTGCTGCCCCGACGGCTGCAATTTAGTTGAGCAGGTATTTTGGGAAGTCGTGTGCAAAGCCCTAAGGATGGATTCGTTGAGGCGCCACAAGCTTTCGCAGAAAAGCTAGGAGGCTCAGCGGTGGTATGGTGCCAAAATGCTTACTTAGGAACCTACTAAAATTACTCACGATAAAGCTTACAAATAAAAAGGAACACGTGGTTTGCCGACTGCAAGTTACCGTCTGCTAGCCGTTTGATTTGGGATCTAACTCAAATACCTAATCCAATAAAATAAAATAAATGTGAAATGAAATGAACCTGATACAATCAAGTCTAATAAATGGCTCTATATTCGTGCAAATATCATCTCTACGCTACCTTAAAAATCACCAAAACCTCGTGCTGCCAATTTCTGCTCCACGTGATCTCACTCCGGTCTCATTTAAACTGTCCCAGGCTATTCAATTCACAATTCCAGTGATCATAAGGCAGCGGTCCCACAGCAACCACTGTCATCAACTATCACCCTCTACCACCGACTAAATTATGGAATCAAATTTGGTCTAGACGACGGTTGAACTTGGGGGGCACAATCGACTGTTCTCTGTTACCGTGGGTACTTGATTGCCCTTTGTTGGGTCACCTTCCTAGACCGATCTTTAGTCCCTTCCATTCAAAATCTGTGGTCAGGAACGTGGGGTAACAACAACGTTGCCAGACAAAACGAAGACAAAGACTGCTGATATTTGGGAGCGAGATTCTAATAATTAAAAACTAAAATACAAATAATACCTGAAATATGGCTAACCTAACCTAACAAACTTGTTTACTAAATCCAAATTATAAAGAAATATCGGTTGAAAACTAAATATTATTACAATTATTACTTACAACTACCATTTGCCAAGGGATCAGCAGACAGGTGGACCACTATTTAAAATCCATTTTTAACCGTTAAAAATGAAATAATGAAATTGACTCGTTACAAGCTTCTCCACAGTGGCCTTGACCTGCAGTGCCTTGATCCTCTTCACTACATCACATGCAGCGAAAACCTTAGTTTCCTCCATAACCTGCGAACAACAAAGGGGTTAGTGAATTTGCACAGTTGTTATTAGTATGCAAGCTCAAATAATAGCAACATACCACAAACGAAAATCACGAAAATCACTTGGACACGTAAACCGGGAAAGTATTTTGTCGCACGACACAGTGTTTAGGAGGACGATGTTGTCCGGTGAAACAAAAGTCAAGGGACTGGGAGAACTTAAAAAAATAATGGGAATTATTTTTTATGATCTTCCTGTTTGATTTTACGACGCTTCCGCCTTTTCTATCACCCACTCACCGAAGGCTCTTGCTTTGGATATGCCTGTGTGAGGCACGATTCCAAACAAATGTTCTTATTTTTCTCAATTTAATGTTTAGCTGTATTGTGAATATGTTTACAACCTCATAAATATGATCAAGTATTTAAAATATATGCTTTAATTTAAACCATTCCGAAGGAGCTAGGAACATTATATAATCATCTATAAAAAAATGCCTTTCTATACAGGATGTCCCACCGGGAAACGCCGCGATCGATATCTGGCAAACTGTAATTAGGAGAAATTTCAGAATTGAACAGTGTTCCGAAATCGTTGGGGGGCAAGCGGTCTAAAATATTTTCCAGATGGCCACACTTCCGGGTATATTGGAATCGGAAAAATCCTTCAGTCCGGCATACAGCTTGTCCAGTTGCGACTGTTTAACAGCGATCTGCTCGGCCAAAGGATGCCCTTCAGCCGACAGCCCCTTTACAGTTTCACCCAGTCCTCTGATGGTGTCCGCATAAGCTTCAACGGCCGCTTCCAGACTTTCGTGCTTCTTCATGAAGTTCCTGGCGCTGGTCTCATCTTTGCCCCGATCTTTCACCATCATGTAGAGCTCCTGCTCGCTCATCCAGCTCTCGGCCTCATTGGCATCGAACAGATACTGCTGCTCCCGCTCGTTCCTCAGTAAGTTCGCTTGTCTATTATAGATGGCTTCCTTTTCCCTAATTTCATTTTCGCTTAACCGTCGATGCTCTCTGGTGGTGTCAACAACAGATTCGTTCTGTAATGACGCCACTGCTAAAAGCGTCTCCAAATTCGATTCAGCGTTTATTGATTCTACATCAGGCTGAGCTTCGGCTGGCACATTTTCTTCGATGGGAATGTTTTCTTCTATTGGCAATTCTGGGTCTGAAAATTGCTCAACTTCCGTAGCGATTTGAATTAAATTGGCGTCTTCATCTAATGCTGGCAATTCATGTACCGGTTTATCGCTAGTTGGCCCATTGCACTCAGAATCTGATGATTCTTCACTCAAACAAACTACTTTTTCTAATTCCGGTTCCACAGCTTTCCTTCTGAGCATTATTTCGGGTTTAGTTTTCGCTGATTCAAGCAGATTTTGCGCATTTTTCTGCATAGTTACATACTCATGTTCCACTGGCCTAGTGATGTCTTCGATTTTATCACTCACAGTTTTATCAGCAACCGACCATTCTTCAGTTATCACAATAGTCGCTCCGGAAATCACCTTGTCTCATAGGAGTTCTTCAGCATGTTTGTCCTGTGATTCCAAAATTGCTATACTTTCCATCTTTACCCCTTCCTTCACTTTTGCTGCTGTTAATGTCTCTTTCACAGAGTCGACTTCTTTCGCCACTTGAGAGTGTTATTCTGTTGAAATAGTTACTTTTGATAACATAATACCTGGTAAGTTTTCACAAGAGTTATCAGTTTTACCCACATCATCTCCTTCAGAGACAACTGAATCAGTTATTTCCTCAACTAAGCACAGTTTCTGATCAGAACTAGCCACTTCGGGCTCCACCTGAATTTCCTCTAAATGCTCCTGAGAAATTTGTTCATTCGTGATTTCGATAATACCATCTTCTCGATCAACTTTCGGCTCTTGAACGACTGGATTTTTATATTCTACCTCTTCCACTACTGCAGGAATGTCATCGATTTCAGTGTTTTCCAAATCGTCAGTCACTTCCTCGATGTTCTTTAGTTTGCCTTCAACGGTTGTTTTCAGGTCTTCACATTTCTTAGCGTTGTCGTCCATTTTATCTCCCATTTCGTTCATCACTTTCTTACGGTCGGCCATTTCGGATCAAATTATGGATAGCATCTCTTTGTTTTCGTCTTTTATCTACATGAGCAATGCAATCAAACTGGGGTTATCCATTGCAGGGTCTTCCTTCTTTGATTTACTTCTTGTTTCCATCAAAATTCAACTTGGATTCTGGTAAATCCCACTTCTGACACCATATGTACCGTGGATGGCCGGGTATCAAACTCTTTCTTCAGTTTACTACTTTTATTTAACACTGTATAACTTTAATTGCGGAACAGAAACACACTTACTTCAAAACTACCGTCAACTTCACAAATCATAACAATAACAGACGGAAAACTCGCTCTTCCGACTTGCGGGGTTTAACCTCTTCTGCACTCAATCGCTGCAGTCACTTCACTCCCTTTGTCTGGTTCTCGTCGTCGCTTATATAGTTTCCTCCAGGTAACCCAGACGGTTCTCGAAATCTCCAGCCCAGGTGCGAAATTTCCCGCTTGTCAGTGCCATATTTGACAGTAAACAGTGAATCGGGCGCAAATGTTGCCCCCATTTACTAAAATACCATCAATTTCGATCCCCCATTCCAAATGGGAGTACCCCAGGCCATTTCCGTTGCAATATACTATAATTAAGTATAGCTGTCGATTTGAAATTTAAGTTAAAAATAACAGTTTGCAGCAACTCGGATAATTATTCATTTTTGTATGAGGAAAAACGTGTTCCTTAATTTGAAACGCATTTCTTGCTAAAAAGGCCTTACTTTAATGGAATTTCGACACAATTTTGATAACTGTTAATATGAAGTGTTAAAAAAATACGTTGCAAGATGACGTTGAGAAAACCGTCCAAATTTTTTTTCTAATGGAAACCCCCATTTTTGATAATTATATCTTAATTAATTAAAAATAACGGTGATTCAGCGTAAAGTTGTATATTCGATAAATGTTTAGCTTTAGAAATATTGCCAATTTAATGTTTTCATATGGCTATTTTGCCCTCGACTCAATTTAAATCCTGTTACTCTTAGTAACCATGACGACAGTGACCACTTTTAATGCAATCAAATACCAAAAGAATTTTTACAGCTGTCAGATACCTTTTGAAAGTAATTAATAATCATACGCGGACGCTTAAGTTATACAAACTAGTATTATTTTAAATTATTTATTATTTTGGGAGAATGTGATCAAGTTATATCAAGAAAGGTTTATGTACCATTAATTATTATTACATCAGAAACAACAACAACTACTTCTTTTTCAAATCTAGGGGTGCCTAATTATTTTGGTCGCCTTTACAAATTGAACGTAAACTTTTATTTAGACGTACTCAAAATCTTTGAAATTTTCGAGGATTTGTTTAACAGCCCAGCGTGAATGCTGTTGTTTTTGCGGATGCAGAAAGACAAATGTGTCACATGTTCTTGATATAACTTTATGACATTCTCCATACATTACAAATAAATTTAAATAATCTTCGTATGTATAATTTAAGCATTTGGGCATGAACATTAAGTGTCTTCAACAGTCAACTGACAGCCGTCAGCATTCCCAGCATTCCTTTGACATTTGGTTGTATCAAAAATGGCACTTTTGTCATGGAAACTGGTGACAGGATTTACAATAAGATGCAGCAAAATAGCGATATGAAAACTCTAAACTGATAATATTTCAAAAACTTGACACTTTTGTACAAGACCAGGTTACACTTAATTTTAATACTGAATAAGACAAAATTATCAAAAGAGGAATTTCCATTTGAAAGCATTGATTTTGGACGCTTTTCTCAATGTCATTTTGTAACTAATTTTTTTAACACTTTGTATTAATTGCTTTAAAAATGTTTGCCGAAATTCCATTAAAGTAAGTTTTTTTCAATAATACATGCAGCTCAAATTAATTATCACATATTCCCTTGTCATTATTTACATAAAATTTGAAATATATCATAACCGATTAGCCTTAGGTCTACGATGTTACACATAAAATAAATTTAGAATTTGGAATAGAATTTAAAAATGTAATAATATTTTTAGGGTGTTCCATTTAAAATAAACAAGTTGATACCTACTTCTGATACAACCGCAAGTGTAGCCATCTTGAAAATATTTTAGATCGCCAGCCAACAATGACGTGGTCACACTGTTTCTCCCAATTACAGGGACACCCTGTATAAGATTTCTGCAATATTGATAAATAAGAACGTCCAACTGCCGGGCCAACATGCTGAATTTATACACAGTTTGCAATAGATCTTAACAATATTCAATGTCATGTAAGTAAGATTAAATTTAGCATTATTATTGTTGGATGCAGTTTTTTAATGGTAGATGGAAACAGTTTATATCCATTGGTATATAGTACAGCTTCAAGTAAACCATAGCGAGCATATATTAATATGTTTGTCCACGTGGAAAATTCCGGCCACATAAACAACAAATAAAAGGTTCAGGCTGGCGACTCTGTCCAATATTGGAGTCCGTTAAAAGATAAAATAATGGCAATGACAAGTGTAGCGCGGCACCAAGATAAAACTTTGACGATTACAGAGCTAGAAAACTTGCTAACCGGGAAAGATAAGCAGGCGTATTGTTTGGAAGCTTGCTCATCAAGTAGAGGGCCAAGCCAGAGATCTCCATTTTAGATTTGGGGTATGTTTTTTGATGAAAAGCAGCCTGTTTTAATGTAGATTGAAATCTTTCTGTTGAGATTTGTTTATCAGGACTTATGAACGATGCTATAATAGACGATTTTCTTAATGAAATTACAGACTTAAGATAGCTGAGGGTCGGATTTGCTTGAATGTTTTTTTCATTATTTTTTTCATCCCACGCATGAAAATGAGGTTAATTTCCGGAAACTCTTGCACCGTTAAGAGAACAATCTGTATTATAATGAAACTGGTTTGGCTAAGTTGGGAATTTTGTTCCACATTATTAATTATACAGGGCATCAAGAAAATTGTTGGCGCAAAATGTCGCGAGCTGAATTTAGATATTTATAATCAAAATTTTGGTTCAACTTTCAAAGGCGGTTTAAGATTTCTTTTGGACTGGATAATGCATGTCGAAACCTAAAAATAATTCTCAATCAGGCAAGTTTGGCGTAAAATTTCCGCCCTCAGAATATACTCGTAGTCAAAATCTTCGTTATAAAATCATTTCTGCTATTTTTGAAATTCCGCATATGAGATGATTTAATTTATAAATGTTGAAAATTAAATCATCTCATATGCGGAATTTCAAAAATAGCAGATATGATTTGATAAACACATATATTTAGTCAACACTTCTGTTTTCATAGCAATAAAAGAATTATGTAAAGTGTGTTATTTCTTCTTTAATAGATGCTAGTCACATCTGTAAAATGATAAATTACATACTTCATTGCAATATTTGTTAATTTATTTTAGACTTTGTGAACACACCAGTTGCTATAATCCTACGTACCACCAGAATACCAGGTAAATGTTTTCTTAATGAAACGGTCCTGAGAAAAACCGTGAGTCTAAATACACAGTCGCGCCACTACGGATAGCGCCGCTCAGAAAACAGTTTGCCAAATTGATGCAAACCGTAAATCAGAAAAGTAGCAAAATTTTCCCTAATATAAATGGTAACATTTTCGTATAACACAAACCTTCAGGTTTTCACAATATAGCGGTTTATGTGGTTTTCTTATTCAGTCAGAACATAAATTATTTGAGAACATTTTTAACGAATATTTTGACTACGAGTATATTCTGAGGGTGGAAATTTTACGCCAAACTTGCCTCATTGAGAATTATTTTTAGGTTTCAACATGCATTATCCAAAACCAAAATTTTCGTTGTAAATAACTAAATTTAGCTCGCGACATTTCGCACCAACAATTTTCTTGATAGCTTTTATAATTAGTAATGTGCAACAAAATTCCCAACTTAGCCAAACCAGTTTCATTATAATGCAGATTGTTCTCTTAACGGTGTAAGAATTTCCGGAAATTAACCKCATTTTCATGCGTGGGATGAAAAAGAACATTCAAGCAAATTCGATCGCAAAGCGACCTTCAGCCATCTTAAGTCTGTAATTTCATTAAGAAAATCGTCTAGTATAGCATCGTTCATAAGTCCTGATAAACAAATMTCATCAGCAAGATTTCAATCTACATTAAAACAGGCTGCTTTTCATCAAAAAACATACCCCAAATCTAAAATGGAGATCTCTGGCTTGGCCCTCTACTTGATGAGCAAGCTTCCAAACAATACGCCTGCTTATCGTTCCCGGTTAACAAGTTTTCTAGCTCTGTAATCGTCAAAGTTTTTATCTTGATGCCGCGCTACACTTGTCATTGCCATTATTTTATCTTTTAACGGACTACAAAATTGGACAGAGTCGCCAGACTGAACCTTTTATTTGTTGTTTATGTCGCCGAAATTTTCCGCGTGGACAAATATATTAATATATGCTCGCTATGGTTTACTTGAAGCTGTGCTATATACCAATGGATATAAACTGTTTCCATCTACCATTAAAAACTGCTTCCAACAATAATAATGCTAAATTTAATCTTACTTACATGGCATTGAATATTGTTAAGATCTATTGCAAACTGTGTGTAGATTCAGCATGTTATCCCGGCAGTTGGACGTTCTTATCAATATTGCAGAAATATTATACATGGTGTTCCACCGGGAACCGCCGCTATCGCTATCTGGCAAACTGTAATTGGGAGAAAACAGTGTGACCAAGTCATTGTCGGCTGGCGATCTAAAATATTTTCAAGATGGCTACATTTGCGGTTGTATCAGAAGTAGGTATCAACTTGCTTATTTTAAATAGAACACCTTCAAAATATTATTACGTTTTTAAATTATATTCCAAATTCTAAATTTATTTTATGTGTAACATCCTAGACCTAAGGCTAATCGGTTTTGATATATTTAAAATTTTATGTAAATAATGACAAGGGAATATGTGATAATTAATTTGAGCTGCATGTATTATTGAAAAGAACTTACTTTAATGGAATTTCGGCAACATTTTTAAAGCT